CCGCGCAATCCCCTGCGCAGGAACCTGAGCGCTGGGCGAGGCCGTCGCAGGCTGCGGGGCCTCTGAGAGCTTCGGCAGGGCTGACACGGCCGACCCGCCGCCTGGCAGCTCTGCAGAGGCCAACTGGCCGGGCGGGGCCAGGGCCGGGGCTCGGGGCCTCCTCCCATCCTGCGGATGAGAGCGAGGAAGGAGCCGGGAGGGTCCTGGTGTTTGCGCGTTGGAGACTGAGCGCCCGGGCAGCACGGAGATCCTCGATTCGGGACAGCCGGCCATGGGTGACGGCAGAGATGCCCTCTGAGTCCTTTCTTTGTGTCAGACAGTCAGAACGCTGCCTCTTGTCTCCTTCACTACAGACATTTCCTTTCTCCCGACACAGCTGTTAAAACCCGATTTTGCTGGGATGGAAAGCTTTGCTGACTGGGCGTGCGGAGATGGTCACGCAGCAGAGCCCTTCCCGACCCCACGGGTGGGACGCCGGAGGGCCAGCGTTGAGAGTGCGAGCCCCGCGACCCGGCCACGCCTCCCTTCCCTCTGCTTGCGGGCAGGCCCAGCCCGCTTTCCTCCTCGGCAGCGGGGCTTACTCGAGGGGGCCTCAAACACTCAGGGCGTCCCCAGCCCTGCGCGGAGCCACAGCTGCCTGCTGGCCTCCTCCCAGTCGGAAAGGAAATGCCTGTTCTGATAACTCAGCTGCTCCCAGCCCCGCCCGGCACCTGCGGCCCACCGTGCCGACTGCTGCCCGCCAAGGCAGGCTGCGCGCCGGCGTGCACTGTGCCTCTGCTCCAGGCGTCTCCAGGCGTCTGCTCGCTCCTGTGGCCAGGCAGCAGCAGGCGTGGGGACAGCCAGGTGCAGTGCGGTTCCCGGTGAATTAATACAATCAGGAGAGGTTCCACAACCACAGACCCCTGAACCCCTACGTCTGCAGGCCGGGCTGCCAGGAGCCCAGCTCCGAATCCTCAGGGTTCTATACACACTCCCTGTTGCGAACGCCCAGGATGGCTTATATTTTGATCAACTAACAATTCATTTCCACAAAGTTGGAAGGTACAAGGAGGTCTGACACAGATGTATACTACAGGGTCTGCAGCCGGGGAAGTCCCCTAGGCCCTCCAGCGACCCCCAATCCACAGAAAGTCCCCGTCACTCTCCACCGCACTGATCACCTGCTCCAGTTCCGGATACGCCACTAATGGTCTCTGATCTGTCCATCCCTGGAGGGCAGTACCAGTATCTATCTAGTTCCAGCACCAAACACAGGCCTGGCACACAGTAGGTGCTCAGTAAATATCTGCAGGTGAATGGCGTGCTCTCCAACACGTGGACAGGGTACAAGCTATGTGTTCAGGGTGGCACGAGGAGGCTGGGCTGACAGTGGTGACTAGCAAGGACTGTGTCTGCAGTTCTGGGATGGATCAGCCCTCTCTTCTTGTCCACGATTAACCCGTATGAATGTCCTGTGGCCACGCTGGTCCCAAAACAGTTATGATACAGCCCAAATCTACAAAGTCTGTCCTCACGATCTCATTCCTCCACCACCTCCGGTGCATGGCCACGCCTGGCCCTGCTCCTACTCTCTCCCTGGAACCCGATCTACCCATGACACACGTAGCCCCCCAGAGCTGGCAGGTGGCCCCCCTGCTTACAATGCTTTTCGTTCCTTGGAAGCAGTCAGGTGGGAGGTCGGCACAGCCCTCAGTCACAAAACGCAGACACACACAAGCAAGGGTTCAAGTCTTCTGACAAGGGAGGGAGGGGAGAGGGAGGAGGCCACCGTTCCGCACACGCCCGCCGTTGATGCCCGAGCGCATGCGTGCCTCCATCTTTGCAGACAGGACCCGCCCGGGCCTGCCAGGCAGCACGCAGCGCCTGAGCTGCCCAGTTTGGCAGCCACTAGCCATGCGTGGCTATTTAATTGACTTGAAGTCTGGATCCGTCAAAACTGAATTAGCTGGGCGAAGTTGTTGCCCAGCCCCAGCCGTGCGCAGAGCCAGGGCAAGCAGTCGCCCGCACGGATCCCGCCGGGCCGCTCGGATGGCTCTTGTCAGCGTCGCCGCTGTCATGGCCTTCACCATCACAGCTGCCTCCTGCTCACGGCACGTGGTGCGCTTAATTTTAGCACGTGGCACTGAAGTTAAACTCCCTTTCACAAGACAGTTATTTAGGCAAAAATAAAGTAACGGAAAGAAAATACAAATTAGAAAAAGTAGGAAAAGTGAGGTGAAGAGCACATGGCACGCAGAGGCAGTGACAGCCGCGGAGGAGCTTTGTGAGTCCGGAGCCCCAGGAGGGAGCCCCTCACACTTCCCGCCCCCACGCTGCTTCCCGCCCCCTCACTCTCGCCCTGCAGCCCACGGCGGCTGCGGGGACCCTGGGCTACAGCGAGGACCGCATCCCTCACACAGCCCACGTGGCCCCGGAAGCCCTGGAGGCCTCCAGGGAACGGCCAAGTTTCTGTCCTTCGTCCCACGAGCCAGGACAGCAGAGGCGCTAGGAATTAGACGCTGAATAAACGACGGAATCACACCCCTTACGCACTCCCGGGCCCTACAGTGCACTCCCGGGCCCTACAGGCTTCAGCGCCATAGTGTCATCGAGCCCTCACAGCAGCCCAGAGAGAGAAACTGGGCAGGTGGAAGGAGGCCGGCCCTCGAGGAGGGTGGTGCAGGCCCGAGAGCATGAGTCCCAGCTCTGCCCCTCGCAGCTGGGGATTTAGGCAGCCCCATGTCTCTGGGGCCTCCATTTCCTCATCTGTAAACCAGGGTGACAATAACCTTACCACTGTCTTTGAGTGGCACCTGATTTGTAAACTGCAGGACACTGCCCAGGAAGCCCTGTGAGTCCCCTCCCCACCAGCAGACCTGGAGCCCTGCCTTTTATTCTGCCAGGAACACAGCCAACAGCCTGGGACTTCGCAGCGGGCACCTGCTCACACAGCCACAGAAAGGCCGCCAGCTCCTGGGCAGCACCTGCTTCTCCTCCAAAGCCCCCCGCCCCCCGCCCTGCACTCAGACACCATGCTGGGGGCAGGGAGGCTGCGCGAGTGCAGCCGGGCCCATCAGGCACCGCCTTCCCCCTCCCGGCAACGCACAGACAGGGTTCAGAGGGCGCCCCGAGGCCCAGTCAGAGCTTGTGGGCACCATCTGGGGTCTTGGCAGGACAGCGGAGAGAACTGTCGCTTTTCTCCTGGACTTTATTCTGAGAGGGTGGGCCCAAGCTGCTGGCCCCAGCTGACCACCCCATGGAGCCTGAGACTGAGGCCAGAGCGGGGACGGAGGTGGCGCGGGGAGCAGTCCGCCCGCCAGCCATGCCTGGAGCCCTCCCCTGAGGGCAAGTCCGTAAATGCCCTGCGGCAAAGCAAGTCCTGGCCGACCCATGCTCCGCTCCGGCGCTGAGGACACGCGGGCTCAGGCCTTAGCCCGGCCCGGCCCTCCACATCCAGGCAAATCTGGGCTTGGCCTCAGCCGGTCCCGAACCTCCCTGCCCACCCCGTCCGGTCGCCTCCGGGCTCTGGGCCGCTCCTCGAGGGCAGGAGAAGGGAGACGATGCCCTGTTTCCCAGCGCCAAGTGCGGCTCGGCGCGGCGCGGCACATGGGGCTCACCGACAACGCACACTCCCTCCCGCGTGACGAGGCAATGGCGCCGAAAAGGCGCGGCTCAGAGAGGTGGAGACACCGCAAGGTCACGGAGCTGCCGGGTGCGGCCGACTCACACAGAAGCTTCTGGCTCTGAAGCCGCGTCTGCCCAGCGCCCTGTGCCGGGCGTGGCGCAGCCGGGGCTGTGCTCCCAGCCTTCCCAGGCCCTTCCCTCTAGTTCCTGGGTCTCCCTGGCCATGCTGGCTCCAGCCCCAAGCCATCCGCGACCCTTTCCCTCCTTCCCCACGGCCCCGCTCCGCACTCCCCCCGCAAGTCCGGGCTGCTGCTCCAGGGCTGCGGCCACTGGTGGGCGTCTTGGCAGCGGGCGGGCGCCCCACTGTCAGGAGCTGCTCAGCTCCAGTGCCAGGGCCGCCCGGCGGGAGGCGTCTGATGGCACAAGGCTCTTGGGGGCCCTCCCGCCCCCGTCACACACCGGGCAGCGCCCCTCACAGAGGCAGCTGGGTGCAGAGGTCAGAAGCGGGCTCCGGGGCCAGAGGGCCTGGGTTTGAAAGCCACCTTCGACACTCGGAGACTGTGGGCTTTGAGCAGGTTACCTCAGGCTCTCTGTGCCTCAGTTTCCTCATCTATAAAGGGAGATCGTGACAATACCTGACTCACAGGGTTGCTGTGCAGATGAAATGAGTTAACATTAACACGTGCTGATATCAGGCACAGCTGTGGCACACAGAGCCACACTGAACACTGCTATGACCATCGTCATCACTGCTCTGCAGAGTGGTGGCATGTCAACCGCCTGCCTTCCCTGCCGTCCGCAGAAGCTCCCGGGGCCAGGCCTCGCCCATCGCAGGCCAGTGCTCTGTGTCAGCAGTTCTTTCCTCGCCAGTCAGTGGGGCTCATCAGTGCTATTGTCTCGAGCCGGCCCTGACACAGGGACCTCTGAGCCGGGGCCCTGGGACCCCGATCCAGCTGGGCCTCCGACACCCTGCTGTCACTCCAAGCCCTAGGCAGGACCCCAATGCTGTTCAGCAGCGCCTGCCCTGGGCCCCACAGAGGGTCCCGAGGAGCCTTTGGCCGACTGTCTGAGGGGTGTCAGCTGTCCCTCCTCCAGGGCTCCACCTCCCTCCTGGCCTCTGGTGAGGCACCAGGATGACAGGGACCCGGGCCAGCGGGAGAGGCAAGCGGACCCAACACAGCACTCAGCAGCCCTGACTCTAAAGTTCTCAGAAAGAGACGCAACGTATGATCCCAGACCTGGGCCTCGCACCCCGGGGGCCAGCAGGCATCTCATTGAAGAAGCGAAGCGAAACAGAAGCCCCCAGAGCAGCCTGCTCACAGCCCAGCAGCCCCCACCCGCCCCACCCGGAGCCGCCCTGCGCGGGAGACGGCAGCGCGGGCCGCAGCCAAGGATACTGAAGCTCCGGTCGGTGATGGCCAGGTGCCAGAGGTTGATGCGCAGGTCGTCCGCCGACATGTAGGTCTCGCAGTCGCTGTTGACGGAGATGGAGTTGATGTGGTAGGTGTGGCCGTTGGCGAAGATCCTGCGGGGGCTCACCTCCACCATCAGGTCCATGGGCTTCAGCACCGGCACCTGCGCAGGAGGGGCGGTCAGAGCGGAGGCCGCGCAGGGAGGCGGCGCGGCGGCCGGGGCCAGGCGGCAGCGTCGGGCAGTGGCACGCAGACTAGAGGTGGAGCACTGGCGTGGGCGCCAGCCCTGAGCCTGCCAGGCCTGAGATAGGCAGTGGCAGCGGGTGGCCGTCCACGGCCCACCTCGCCCTGCGGTAAAGGCCGCCTCCTTAGCTCAGGCTCCTGGGCTTGCTTTGGGCCCTGGCAGGGACAAGTGTGTCTCTGATTGAGTGATTGAGTGGGGCCCTCTGCACCCCAATTTCCTCATCTCTGAAATGGAATGCAAAGATCCCGTGGCAAAGGCCGCAACTGTCCCTCAAACCCTAGCGTCTCCCTCCTGTGATACAGTGCTGTCACTGGGAAGTGGCTGCCGGGTGGGGACCCCACTTCCCTGCTGCCACTGCACCTGGGTGCGGCCATGTGACCAGTTCTGACCGGTGGGAATGTGAGCAAGGCACTGCTGGTGCTTGTGGGTGGCAGTCAGGCAGGGGGTTCGCTTTCCCCGTCTGGAAGGCGAGGACCCAAGCCTCAGGGGCGGAGGCGCCCGGGACGGGGAGGGCACAGGAGAGCCGCGCACAACCAGGACACGGCCCTGGACCTGTCCACAGCGAGAAATGCGTCTCCGCGTGCAGCCCCGGAGGCAGGGCTGCTTGTTGCGGCCTGCCTTACACAGACTCGTCTGGGAGAGCTGGCGCAGGGGTCCCTGCGACAGCATGGGACATCGCGCCTTTCTTCCCCCACACCCTCTGCCCGGAACCTTCTCCCTCGTTCACTCCACTGAACTCTGACTCTTCCTTCAAGACGCAGAGGCGGCAGCCCCTGGGGTGCAGCCTGCCTGGCAGGGGTGTCCCTCGGCCTGCTCCCCCCCGCACACGGCACGCATCTCTGCTGGGGCTCCCGTCACGCACTGCAGTGTGCCTCGGCCACGGCTCTCCGCCCCAGTGAACCGGGAGGTCTTCGGAGGTGCAGAGACAGACAGACAGACAGACAGCAGCCTCTGATCTCTCCCGAGCCTGGCCTGGGTGCTCAGGAAATGGAGGCTGGCAATGCCATGCCCACATCACCATGACAAGACTGGATGCCAAGGGGTACCAGACCCGGAGACTTGCACAGTTAGGAAGTGACAGAGCCAGGACGGCTGCCAGGTGCAACCACCCGAGGGTGTCATGGTGGAAAGGGGCTGGGTCCCAACCCTGACTTCCAGCTCTTGCCAGCTGCCACCTCCACTGTCCTTCACCTCTCTGGGCCTCAGTTTCCTTTTCTGTAAACAGGGTAATGATGGTGCCTGTCCAGGGGCTTTTAGAGGGATCATGAGTAGATGCGGCTCAAGCGTGCAGAACAGCTCTCGGCACGTGGCAAGTTCTCCGTCCACGTGAGGGGCCATGCGGTGGCTGGGTTGGTCAGGCCCCTGACACCTGGTGAGCCCAGGCAGGGTGCTGCAAGGTGATGGGAACACAGCCCAAGAAAGGCTGTGAGGCCAGCCTCGGGGGCAGGCGGAGGGCCATTCCGGGGCTCGGCTGCTCAGACCTTTGTCGGCTAAGCCCAGGGTGGTGGAACAGGGCCGCAGTCACCACACAGGACCCTGGGAACCCAGCCACAGCCGGGCAAGGGCAGGTCACAGCAGACTGGCCGCCTGGACTGAAGTCGAGGAAAGAGACAACAGACACACACACACATGTGAGAGAGAGACCTCAGGTGGCCATAGGCATGTGAAGACACACCTGGTGGGAGCTGAGGTTCGGGAAGCAGGGGCTGGTGCCGGGCCAGAGAGGGCACGAAAAGGGGCTGCGATGGGCTGTGTGGCAGCGCCTGGGCGACGTGGGACCCAGGAGAAGAGAACCTCCTCTCGGAGGGAGAGGAGAGGCCATGCTCAGGCTGGGGCAGGCCCCTGGAGCCCCCACTGCCCTGTCATAGCCCTGACCAACCCTGGGGTTGTTGTCTTCTCCCGTCTGTGTCCCCAGTGGGCCAGGTTAGGGGCACGACCTGTCTTCTCTGGGGTATCTCTCTGGCTCTCTGGTACTCAGGCCAGAGCCTAGCAAAGAAATGGCCTCCAGTGAATGGGTGAATGGGTGAGTGAATGAATGAGTGGGCCAAGTCCCTGAGTTCACGGGGCACAGCTGAGATGGGAGGTAACAGCTTCCATGCTGCAGTGGAGCAATGGGCACTGAGCCCCTCTGGCAGAGCTGCAGCTCTGCAGCCCACATTGGATTTTCCCAAGCACCAGAGCACCAGCACATGTGTGTGAGTGTGTGAGTGTACATTTGTGCAAGTGCATGTGTGAGTGCATGCACATATGTGTATACGTGTGCACATGCATTGTGCATGTGAGTGTGTGAGTATGCATTTGTGCAAGTGCATGTGTGAGTGCATGTGCATGCGTGCATATGCATGCACATGCATCAGTGAATGTGTGTGTGAGTATGCATTTGTGCAAGTGCATGTGCATGCATGCATACGTGTGCACATGCATTGGTGCATGTGAGTGTGTGAGTATGCATTTGTGCAAGTGCATGTGCATGCATGCATACGTGTGCACATGCATTGGTGCATGTGAGTGTGTGAGTGTGCGTTTGTGTAAGTGCATGTGTGAGTGCAATGACACGTGTGCATATGTGTGCGCACGCATCAGTGGATGTGAGTGTGCATGCAGCATCAACGTGCAGCCCACCTGGCTCTAGGGGGTCCTCGTGTTGCTGTCTCTGTGTCTGTGTGCTTCTAGGCCGCATGACTGGAAGTCGGTGTTGGTGTGTCTAGACCCCTGCATGGGGTCCTCCCTGCGCACATCCCTGTGTGTCAGCTTCTAGGTCAGCTCCTCACCCGCACTCCCTTCAGGGAGCAGCCACTGCCCCTGGGATCCCTGGACTCTCCGGAGACAGAGGAGCGAGTCAGAGCGCCGCTGGGAAAGGCCCGGCCTTGCAGTCTGCCCTCTCCTTCCAGCACACTGCTTTCTCCTGGCAGCATTGGGACGGCTCGCCCAGTGCTGCAGTCATTCACTGCTGCCCCCAAACTAGGTTTCAGAGACTTTTTTTTTAAGAAAAAAAAAGAGAAAGAGTGAAAGATTGAAAAGAAACCTGCCTGGAAGGTTTGCGGTTTCATGAATAAAACATGTGCCCTCCACACTTCCAGAAGCCACAGTCTAGTCAAGGTGAGGGCAGGAAGACAGACACATAAACACTAAGGACAGAACAGTGTTGGATACAAATGGCTAGAGTGCACTGAGGAAGCACAGTGATTTTCTTCTGGCCTGTGTAGAAAGGCTCTAAAGAGGAGAAGACTAGTAGGGTTTTGAAGGATGAATAGGAGCTCACCAAAATGAGAAGGTAGTGAAAGTCCTCTTGCGGCTCTCACAGCACTGTGCTGGTGATTCTATGTCTGCTTCCCTGGGGACCAGGAACATTTGGTGGGCAGGGACTGAGCTTTACCTTGCTCCCCTCTAGGACCCTAAGGACCCAGCCCAGGGCCTGGCCCGGCAAAGCTCCTCAGTAAATAAGAGCTTCCTCCAGTGTTAACTGCACAGATTGGGCAGAAAGCTGTGCAGAACTGGGGCAGCTCAGGTAAAACAGGACACAAACAAGGGAGGAGCAAGAAGAGGACAAACCAGGACACCCCAGTTTTTCCCGAGTCTCTTCCAGCTCAGTTATAGCTAAGTGTCTTTGGATGTGAGTGACTTACAGAGAAAAAGCCCCAGTGCTGGGAGGGAAATAGACAGGATTCCCACGGGCTGCTGGCTGTGCCTCCAGCACCAGGTGATCAAGCTGTGATCGCCACGTCCCTCCTAGCGAAACCTCGTAAGCTGTCTTGGGGCGGAGGCCCAGCCCTTCGTCACCCACCTGGAAGCTAACTGGCCTCCCCACGCCCTCGGCACTGATCTGTGCCAACTGCCGGCCACCTAGAGGCCGCTGTGTGTGCACATTTATTTCCTCTCGGGAACAATACAGACCACCGCTTACATTCATGACCACTTGCAGGATGCTCAGCGTGTGCGCCTGCTACACCTCTTCAGGGAAGGGCACGTGAGGCTGGGCACTGTGTGAGCCTGCCAAGTTGTCTCAGAGAAGTAGTTATCATCTCCGTTCCGCTGGTGAGGAAACTGAGGTACGGAGCAGGGAGCCGGCCACAGACGCCACTGGCAGTGCGTGCATTTGCCAGCAGTTTGTGTGAGAGCCTGGGGAGGCGCGGGGGCACCGCCCCATCGGTGACACCGCCGCTCGATGGGAGGGCGGGAGCAGCAGCTCGCCGCCAGGGACACCTGGGAGAGGCGGCTCGCCGCGGGCCGTGGGCCTGGCCGCTGCGCCGGCACCAGGACGCGGGAGCACGACGGCTCCCGCACTCGCCCCGCTCCTTCAGAGCCGCCGGGCTCATGTCCTCTGAGCAGGCCAGACCCAGCACGGGCACCGAGAAGACCGGGACCTGGGCCTGCCCCCAAGGGCCACAGGGCTCTGTCCCCCGAGGCCCGCGTGCCTAGAGCACAGTGGGGCACACAGGCGCTCGGTCGGAGTGACTGGCCGGGCCCCAGCGGGCCCCCTGACAAACGCGTGCAAAGCGCATGCTCCAGGCACAGTCTGGAAGCCAGGGATGGACAAGGAGGCGCCAGGTGGCTCCTGCCTGACGGGGAAGGCAAGGGACCCAGTTCAGTCTGCACAGGGGACGCCATTCACCGTCCCCGCGCTCTCCTCCGCGGAGCCAGGCCTTCCTGGCTGCGGCCCCAGCTCCCAGTCTCCTCGCGGGGACGCGCGGCGGCAGCGCCCGCTCTGAACCACGTGGGAGAGCGAAATGAGCCGTCCTGGCCAGAGTGCTGGGAGGACACAGGCTCCTCCTTGTTCAGACAGCCCCGGCCACGCTGCCAGTAAGTGGCACATGCGGCATCTGAACCCAGGCCGAGTGACTCCAGGACTCTTTCTTCTGTGTCTCAGCCTCTCCACCGAAGAAGCGCGAGTCCTTCTGCCTTTTTATGCCGCTGGGGACAAGAGTTCGCCTCGGCATGGCTCTGCAACTTAACCTTCCTGGCTCTTTTATATCCGCTGCAATCTTTGGAGCGGGGCCCTCGCCAACGCCTCAAGGCCCAGGAGTCCCAGGCCGCCGGCCCTCTGCGAAGGGAACCACAGCGCCCGGCTGACCAATTCTCCTGCTGGCCCTGCCCCTCACGCAGCTGCGTGCCTCTCAGTGAATGTCCGTTCCTCCCTAGGCCTCAGTTTCCCCCTTCATATACCACAGGATTATGTGACTTGCTCTCCACCCTCGGCCGCAGGTGAAGGGCACCTCACAGACAGGCACCACCACGCCTCTTGTGCACGAGATGCCCAGAAGAAACATGACCGCCTCCATTGTGCTGGTGAGGAAACTGAGGCAGGGAAATGCCCAAGGCCAGTGCCCATGCCCAGCCAGCCAAGATGTGAACCGACACTGGCTCAAATCTCAAAGGCCCTTCAAGTCCTAAAATCCTCACCATTAATGAAAGAGCACAAGCTCGCCTCCCGCCTGCCGCATCCTCCGTGCCCACTCTCACCTGCAGTGACGTCACCGTGGACAGGTCCTTCAGCTTCCCCTCCTCATCCTTCAGGTTGTAGCCCTCGGGCCTTTTGTCTCGTTCGGTAATCTTCCATAATTTGATAGTTTTATCTTTCAAAACAGAACACAGAGACACACAATCACCCAAGAGAAGAGGGAACAGAGAGTGCGCCCCCAGCCAGGGCGCGACGCCCTCCCAGGCACACAGCGGTGCTGCCAGCAGGCGCCCTGGGCCTCCACTGCAACTCTCGGGGTCCCCAGCCTCGCCCCGGGGACTGTGGGCGGGCCGAGCCCACACCCACCGTCTCCCACACCCCGCGGGTCTGCCTCCCCGGAGAGCCTGGCGGCCGCAGCAGCCCAGACAGGCTGTGTGTGGGTGACACAGCCGGGGCCCGCGGCACCGGGACAGGCTGGACCGGGACTCAAAACCACGGTGGGAGGCTGTGCGCAGGCAGTGCAGGGAGCTCCAGAAGACGACCTCTCTTCCAGAGAGGCAGGAAGAAAGTGACCGTCCCTCTGAAATGATTTTTTTAAAAGCGTGTGGGGCTCAGCACTCACTAGAGGCTCCTGCCCAGGCAGCTGTCGCTGGGGAGGCGTGTCACCGCCTCTGCTCCCGCACAGGGGGGGCCCTGTGGGATCCTCAGCTGGGCACAGCCGGCACCAGGCACGTAGGGACACGGACCCGCCCTCAAGGAGGCTGGCGGACACGGACCCGCCCTCAAGGAGCACACACCGCAGGGCGGGTGCCTGGTGGGAGGAGCCAGAATGCCACAGCAGGGCCCCCTGGCTGGGCAGAGAGGTCAGAGAAGGTGTGTCCTGCCTGAGCCCAGTTCCTCTGACCAGGGGCTGAGTGGGGAGGGCGAGGGGCCGAGGAGCGGCTGTGGGGGCTGCCACCCACTGCTGGCCGAGCAGGACGGTCTCCCTAGAGCAGACCACAGACCACAGGAAGTTGGCTTGGGGCCCGGGGGCACGTGTCCCTCCCTGGGCAGAGCGATCGAGAGGCCAGACCACTATGCTCACTGACCTCGCCCCTTGCTGGGAACATCCAGCTCCCTTCACCCAAAGAAAAGTGCTCACAAAGATGACATGGCCATGCCGCTTACAGTCAGGGACAGCCCTGAGTCCGGCCATGTGGAGAAGTGAGGAAACTCTGGCAGAGGCACTTGATGGGATTTACAGGTTGCACAAATGTTATTTGTTAGGAGTTCCACAGACCTAGAAAATGCTCACAAGGTAAGTGGGCCGGGTGCGGTGGCTCACGCCTGTAATCCTACCTCTCTGGGAGGCCGAGGCGGGCGGATCGCTCGAGGTCAGGAGTTCGAAACCAGCCTGAGCAAGAGCGAGACCCCGTCTCTACTATAAATAGAAAGAAATTAATTGGCCACCTAATATATATAGAAAAAATTAGCCGGGCATGGTGGCGCATGCCTGTAGTCCCAGCTACTCAGGAGGCTGAGGCAGGAGGATTGCTTGAGCCCAGGAGTTTGAGGTTGCTGTGAGCTAGGCTGACGCCACGGCACTCACTCTAGCCTAGGCAACAAAGCGAGACTCTGTCTCAAAAAAAAAAAAAAAAGATAAGTGACGTATTAAACCAAGTATCTGTCTGTAATCCCAGCACTTTGGGAGGCCGAGGCAGGAGGATTGCTTGAGGTCAGGAGTTCCAGGCCAACCTGGGCGACATATTGAGCCCCTGGGCATGGTGGCGCATGCCTGTAGTCCCAGCTACTCGGGAGGCTGAGGCAGAAGGATCACTCGAGCCCAGGAGTTTGAGGCTGCTATGAGCTGTGATCACTTGCACTCTAGCCTGGGCAACAGAGTGAGACCCTGTCTCTAAACAAAACGAAAGAAAGAAAAAAGAAAAGCCCCACACGAGCACGCGGCAGCACGGGCCGCACGGCGCCTGTGCAGGGCGGACACCGCGGGCGGCTCACCGTTGGTGGACAGCAGCGAGTGCGCGGCGTTCTGCTGCGGGAGCCATTTGATCTTGTTGATTTTCTCCTCTATCTCCAGGCTCTTGAGATAGTCGAACTCCGGCTCGTGGCTCTGGAAAGTGCTGTAGACGTCGTACTCGCCCTGGCTGTGAGGCGCAGTTTTACTCTGCAAGGGAACCGCAGAGAAGGGGCCCGAGCTCCGTGACAGGCCAGGGCCGCGGCTGCCACCTGGGGGGCCGGCACAGCCCTGGCCACCAGGTGCCAGCAGTGCCAGTGGATCCAACAAGGCTCAAAGGACAGTCTCCACCTGAAATGGCCCACAGGACGCTGTACAGCTGCGGCCAAGCTCCGCCTTCCCGTCAGTCCGATAAGCGAGGTCCAGGCCGGCGCCGTCCCCTGAGCCGCCCTGTGCCCGGTGTGGGCCGGGTGCCGCCGCGCCACCACTCCTGCCGCGCCAGGCCTCGAGGCAGGCACCGTGACTCACCCACTTTACAGACGGGCAAGCAAAGGCTCAGAGGGGACGTGGCCTCCATGACTGCTCGGTACAACTCAGGCCTCACTCGAAGAACAAATGCGCAGGTTTTACACCGGAGCAGAACACGCCGCAAACGTCAGACCTGGGCTAGAATGTCACCTCCCGACTCTGCTCAGTGGCACCTGGGTCAGGAGCAGAGCCCCTTACAATAAACACGTGCGGTGCTGGGCCCACCACATGCACCAGCAGCCGTTTCCTGGGAGACAATTCAAGTTTACACGACAACATGAAACTACACCCAGGAACAAGTGAAGACATTCAACAAAGCAGAATTTCAAGTTTTTAATTTTCTAAAAGTATCTACTTTTATATTCCTGTCTTTGTCTTGCCTTTGAAAAGCTTTAAAGTTCTTCAATATTTTTTTGCCCGTAATTAACCCCATCTCCTACGAGCTCTTGCTAAGCCAAAGGTCAGTGGGCCCGAAATGAAGGAAAAAAGGTTAAGAGAAAATTTCAAAACTGGGAAACTTGCATCCACCAATTTAATTTCTTTCTGCAGTTGGCAAAAGGAAGGCGTGGCCTCCCCAGTGAGACACCCTGGTCCACCGTGTGAACCCACACGCGCCAGCTAACGGATTAGCAGCCAGCTGCTTGCTAGCAGGGGTCCTTGGCAGACTGTGGAACCCTCCGGCTCTGTCTCCCCTATAAAGTGTGCACAGTAACAGCACCTAACCGCACCAACAGGGTTGTCACGAGCGACCAAGGCACAGTCAGGGTCCAGGCTCAGCCTCGGGGCCGTGCTCGGAAGTGAACGAAGGGAGATGATCCTGCAGCTCCTCTTCCTCCCCCTCTTCCTCCCCTTCTTCCTCCCCTCCCCCACCTCTTCTCTCCCAGCCCCTCCCTGGTTTCAGGGATATCCTCGCATCAAATCCCCCATGGCGTGCCGGGCAGACGCCCCTCTGCAGCCGGGTGGTGTGTAAGTTACAGACCCTGGTCTTGGAGTCAGGCAGGTCCAGGTTCCATCCCTGGTCTGCAGGTCCCTAGCTGGGGGGCTTCTGTGAGTGTTCTCATCTGTAAAATGGGTGAGGACCCTCACCCTCCACAGTGAGCAGTGAGCAGTCAATGAGAAGAGCACGTAGGATACTTAACAAGGCGTCCGAGTGCAGTCAGGGTGCTTTGGTCCTGAGGCTCTTTCTGTGTTCCACAGGGTGGGGCTGGGGGTGCAGGGTGGGGGCAAGGACTCGTGCCAACAAAAACCGCCACGCCCAGCCTGAGGGTTACGGACAGCAAGACAAGAGTGGACCCCCTCCCATCCCTGCTTTGGCCAGGACAACGCCAGGCCACCCAGGCGGAGGAAGGTTTAACGGGAGGCAGCTGGCTCCCTGGTCCTGGCGGTCCGGGCTCTAGGACAGAGCGTGCCCACAGGGCAATGTGCAAGAAGCGCCGAGTGGAGGGGCTCAGACAGGCTTTGCCGGCTCACGCCAAGGACTCGCAGCCCTGGCCCAGCAGAAACACCCCTGCCCCTGCACCCCAGGGTGCTGTGGTGGAGTTGGGGCAGCTTCCCCTGAGAGCTGCCATCCTGGTACCTGTGGGTTAAGGCCCCTGCAGGCTGGGCTGCAGTCCCCACAGCCAACCTCCCGCCCCCCAGCAGACCCGCCCCTCCCCCCCACCTGCCCCTGCCCCCACCCTGCCACACCCCAGACCCTGGGCCTCGCACCTCTGGTTCCCGCTGGAAGATGACGACCCGGCCGCCCTTGTCGCCTGTGGCCAGCAGCTCTCCGGTGTGGTTGAACTCGACAGTGGAGATGATGTCGGCTGCGGGAGCGAGACAGCAGGCGGTTAGCAGGAGCTGCCCAGCGGCAGCCTGCCACCCTCCCGGCCGCGGCCCTCCAGCCCTCCTGCCCCACCCTGGCTGCAGGACACTCCCCGCTGCCCTTCCTTCGAGAAGCAGTCTGAAGCTTCCTCGGGCGCTGAGCAGGGGTCAAATCTGACACTCACTGGAGCCACCCTTCGCCCACGGCCCTGGGACAGGCAGGTGGTCACGTTCCAGGCCTGGGGCCCATGGGGGACATCCCCAGGCTGGGGTGGGGGCGAATGGTGGAGCCTGGGAAAGGGGCCCGCTGAGGAGGGCGCCCAGGGCTGGGGGCAGCCTGAACCCCTTGGGGGACACAGGCCCTGACCCGACAGATGTGGGGCTGGGGGAAGGCCCCTGAGAGGAAGAGGGGCGGGTTTGGGGCTGGGCTGCCCAAGGCAGTGACCTTGGCAGAGGACAGGGAGGTCACAGACCCCCACACGGCAGGGTTTGGCCCAGGCCTGGGGGCAACCACAATGGCTGGCCGACTCTAGGTAACTGGGTGCTCCATAGGGACTGGAGATGGCACCTGAAGCCACCTGGATCTAGCCTCTCCCTCCTGTCTCCAACCCCCACCGGGCCCCTGTGCTCCAACAACCTCAGATTGGCCAGTGCACCCCAGCAACTCTCTAGACAAATGAGCCTCCCAGGGCTTCACACACAGTAAGGGTGGGGGTGAACTCTGCCCTCCCCTTCAGAGCCCAGCTTGGTGCCCTGCCTCCAGGCAGGCCTCCAGGATCTCGCCCCAATCTGTGCTCCTCGAAGCTGAGCCCAGCCCTGCACACTCCTGACACCTGATCTCCCTGTCCTTCTCAATCACGTTTCCTTAAGGTACTCGGGGACTTTTCCTCATGGGGTCACCGCAATACCTGGAGTCTTTTGCACCCGGGGCTGGCCCTCCTGCATGGGCAAGTGTTTGGAGAGAAATGACAGCCCCATCTCCAGCCCAGTGTTTGCGTCTGGGAACAAGAGGAACCCCCTTCCGTCCCCGACGTTCTCAGGCCCTACGAGTCACAGAGACAACTGGCCTGTACATTCCAGGGCCACCCCCAGGGGGAGGGGAGAGCAGGGCCAGGACGGGACCTGGCCTGGGAGAAGGAGACCTAGGGGCTGCTCGGGAGGACAGCTCACTGACCCAAGGCCTGAGCACTGTTCTACCAACAAAGTTCTAACAACTTTTCTTGGAACCCCAAAATGATCTTTATTTTTAATTTGAATTCATTCCTAATATTTGAAAAGTGAAAGATTCCCTATACAAAAATCTGCATTTCCAGTATGTCTTGAAACATGGAAGGTTCTAGGACATGGTCCCCATATGCCCAAGCAGCAATGGGTGGCAGGAGCAGAGGAACAGGGCCAGCCCTGTTCTGTCATTCTTCAAATTCTCGGCCTGGACTCTGTAGCCTCCAGATCCTCTGATCCCTGCTTTAGCCGAATGGACCTACTTTCAAACAAACTGCAGATCTGACCAGCACGGTCCCCACCCCCTGGGGTCCGGGAAGGACACTTAGGGCCTCTCTGCCCCACACTCTGCTCTGACAGTGGCCGAGGTGATGGTTACAGTCCCGAGTCTTAGCGTGTCTCTCTGCGCGAACACCCCCACTGGTCCCCCAGGCTGGAGTCCGATCCCTCCTCACCCCTTCCTCTGCCACTGCCCTGTCTCAGGTGATGGGCTCCATCGTTCCCTTGCTCGGCCCGTCAACGAACAGGAAATAAAACCAACAGTTCAGGCAGGGGAAAAAGGAAAGGCGTTTTAATCCGGGTCTTAGGGACTGCAGTTCGGAGACCCGGATCTTGCGAGAGGTTGCTCACTCCGCCGCCGGGTGAGGCTGGGCAAGGCCTTGCAAAGGCCCCCTCCTCCCCCGGAGCTCGCGCGTCCTGGAGGGTTTGGCGCAGCCGCGGCTGAGGATGGCTGGCTGGCGGCTTAGGACGTCTGCGGATCAATCCAGTTTGTGACCAGGCCCACTATAAACAGCTCAATCCAATGTAGCTGGTTTTACGGTCTGGCCGTCCCACAGGCCACATTCCACATGGATGTGTGCGTGACGGGTCCGACTCCGCGTGCCCGCCCAGCTCCTGCCAGAATCCGCAACATCACGTCTCCATTCTGGGTTTTCTTTTCACAGGCCCAAGCCCTGGAGTCACCCTGACTCTCTTCTCTCTCTCCCCTTCTCCCCACACATCCACTCCTGCTGGGTGGCCTTCACAGCAGGTGCACGGGCCGGCCACTTCTCCCCTCTCACCTGGTGACTGTGCCAGTCTCCTAAGGGCTCCTGCTTTCTCCGGGGAAGCTGCAATCCAGCCAGGAGGGAGCCGGTGACACCCAGGACCGATCGCTCACTCCCCTGCTCAGAGCCCCGGCGCTGCCCACGTTATACCCAGCGTGAAGTGAAGGCCTCAGAAGAGTGGGCGAGTTGAACGGCCCCTGGAGGTAGACCATGCCCACAGCCAGCCCTTCCCTCCCCGCACCTGTGACCTGTCCATGGAGCTCGGCAGTGCCTCCCACCCTGGGCAGGGTAACCTGCCCCGGCACCCCTGACCTGACCCTGGGCTTGTTCCTGTGATCTGCCGTGGCCTGCCGGACGGCAACTGGACAAGCCGCAAGCAGGGACTAGAAAGGACTGATGTGCTAGGGTGTGCCGTCCTGCACCTCTGCCGCTGCCAGGAGGACCTGCCCGGGCCAGCCTGTGGTCCCCGGGGAGGAGGAGGAGAGAGCAGAGTAAAGCTGTCCCCACCAGGTCCGGCCTCTAGTGGGGCCCTGCAGAGCTGGGCAAGCCCAGCCAAGTCTGGACCATGGAATCTGCCCATGTGGGATAAAAATGTTTATTGTCACATGCATGAGGTCGAAGTCTCCTGTTTCTAACTCAGCAACAGGAAACTCATATCCTCTGCCCCTCCCACAGCCTCCTGTGCCTCCCACCCGTGTATTCCCCTCCAAACCCGGGGCTCCTTGCCCTTTCTCAAGAGCTCTGGCTCCCTTCTGTCCCAAGACCGATTCTCTCGGCCTGGAGTGATTTTCCCTAGATATCAGCGCAGCTCCTCCTGTTCTTTCCATTCTGCTCAACTGCGGTCTTCCCAATGCACCTGACTTGGACCGTCTTGTTGAAATTGCTACCTGCACCCCGCTGTCCCATACGGAACACCCTGATCGCCCACGGTGCTTCTCTGTAGGGATTTTATCGCCAGTCGGCTCTCTCCCCTGGCCAGAGGGTGCACTCCACAGGGATAAGGTCTTGGTCCTGTGGATTCATGGCTGTCCTCGCAAGCCCCCGAATGGTGCTGCATGCAGCAGGCACACCATAGGTATCTACCCATCAAATGCTTTTCTTGTTCCAGTCCACACCTTTTAGAGGCTGCTCCTGGCCTGCACCAGCCCCCGTGGGTACATGCCAGCTTGGATAGCAACAGAGGAGAGACAGAAGCTGGGTAGGAGCAGGACGGTGGGTTGGACACCTCCAACTCCAGGACAGACGCACCTTTCATTACATTTAAAAGACAAGACTAGGAAATCTGCTCTACGGGAACATGCAAGTGCCCACTGGGTACAGAATTGGGAATGGGACCATGTCCTGGCTGCCCTGACACTGACCCTCCATGGGGCAGCCCACCCTGGTCCAGGGATACCCAAACACCTCTGGGCTGAAGCCACAACCACAACACAGCTGAGCTGGGGTCTCAGAGGTGACTCTGGCTCTTGCTGCTGAGTATTAAAACCCCCAGAAAGAAAGAACAGGCTATAAAAGTGTGGATCAAATGTTTTCAATTATATAGGCCAGTGATCCTAGCCATGTTCGATAATCAAACAAACTGGGCAGAGAGGAAGAAAACAGCTGGAAAAGCATTCTCCAAAATGTTAATCGTTTTAGGTTGAAATAAAGTAATTTTTAGTCTTCTTTCTACTTTTCTGTGTTTTCTTTATTTTCTGAAATGAAGGTATATTATTTTTAATAGCTTTATGGGGGTATAATCTATATGCAAAAAACTGCACATATTTAACATACACAATGTGATGAGTTTGGACATATGCATAATGTATATGATTTTTGTGATGGGAAGATAACAATGCTATTAAATTAAAATGCCAACATAACTATTGCTATCCAGAGCAAATGCAGTCCACAAATGCTGGTGGTTACCACAGTAACAGATACTAACGTCTGTGGAAAATTGACAATTTATATGCCATTTATATCCACTGCCTCCTTTGAACCTCACACCAGGCCCTGGGGGGACATGACTATTGGTGGCAGCTGAAGACAAGGAGGCTCTCTCCTCAGGAGATGAGCTCTTTGCAGACAGTCAGAAGTTCTGGTAGGAGTCTTGGCTCCAAGGGCCCCGCTGTGTGCCCTTGGGTAAATTGTACAACTTCTCTGAGCCTCAATTTTGTCGTCTATAGCATGCTCATGGTGGAGTTTTCCTGGGATTAGAGGCTCAAGTGAGACATGGGGGTGAAAGGGCTCAAGAGGGAGGGTGAGGACCAGGACTCTGAGGACAGAGGGACTGCCAACACTCGCTGGGCAGAAAGCTACAGTGCTCTGCCACCCTTGCTTCTGGCCTCCACAGAACTGGCACAGCCAGCTCGGAAGCATGCGAGACGGATCTGTGGTCCAGCCTTGGTGTACTGTCCTGACCACCAGCCCTCCAGTCTCCATCTGCAAATATTCACAGAGTCAACACTAGACTTCACAGCTCTTCTTATCCAGGCCAGGCATTGCTTCCTTAGGCCCAGAAAAGGGTGAGTAGATGCTTTTTAAAATTTTTTCGTATTTAAATTTTTTCTTAGAGATAGGATCTCACCCTGTTGCCCAGGCTAGAGTGCAGTGGCACAATCATAGTTCACTGCAGCCTCCAACTTCTGGCCTCAAGCAATCCTCCTGCTTCAGCCTCCTGAGTAGCTGGGACTACAAGCCCAAGCCTCCATACCTGGAGCCCGTGGATGCTTAACTCATTGTTAAAGTGAGTG